ATCTGTCTGCTTCTGCTTCCTGAGTGCTGAGACTTCAGGCATGCACCACTAGGCTGGCTTCAAACTCATTGAGATCTGACTGCCTCTGCTTCCCAAATGCTGGGATCAAAGGGGTTTGCCAACACCACCTCCCAGTTATGTGTGTGTATTTATACACAAACATAATGTGTATATTGTTTTTTTAGTGAACAAGTTAATAGTATGATTAGTTACAACTTCTATTCTTCCTGTTATTTCACCCTCCTATATTTTTCTCCGTCCATCTTAAGTACTCCCCATACACTTCCCAGATCAGATGACTTATACCTTGCTATTATGGTCCCTTCTTACTTTCCTGGTCCCCCCCCCCAGACAGGGTTTCTCTGTGGCTTTGGAGGCTGTCCTGGAACTAGCTCTTGTAGACCAGGCTGGTCTCGAACTCACAGAGATCCACCTGTCTCTGCCTCCCGAGTGCTGGGATTAAAGGCGTGCACCACCAACGCCCGGCACTTTCCTGGTTTTTACAGCTAACTCCAAGATACATACTTACATCTGAAGATTTGGGGTTAAGGGCCTCCAATGAGAAACATGTCTTTCTAGATCTGGGTTACCACATAATCTTTTGTAGTTCCATCCATTTACCTGCAAGGTCCTTGCTTCATTTTTCTTAATTTATTTTTGCCAACATCAGTGCCCCCCTACCTCTTTGTTTTTGTCCATGGTATGTATACTCTATCATTACCCCAAATGCTTTATGCAAGTACCTTGTACTCACAGAAAGGTGCTCTCCTGTGTTTTAAGGATATGTGTGAATTTGAATGATTTTTCCTATGGGCCTGGGGCTAACCTCATTGGCAAAGCAGGAAACAAGTTTAAGCTATATATACCCTTTCAGGCTGGTCTTGTAACCCCAGATCCAGCAGGGAATTGTGCTTCAGATATTGTATATAATGATGTCCAATTCTCCTTGCAAACAGATGGCCAGTTAGTTACCACAAGGTGTTTCATTTCTGATTTATTTATTGGGGTTGAAAATATTTGGAGATAGCACTACTAGAAATCTGGCTTGAGTCCCAGCTCATGAGCCATGTGATATTTGGATGCCTCTGTAGAGAGGGCAGGTCTTCTGAGGGATGAAGCATTGTCAGCAAAGCCAGAAGCTCCTCATTACTGCTCCTGTGCTTGTTGTGGCTACTCTGAATCAGAGCACACCAAGTATATACTACATGTGACCTCCAGTTGAATTCTGTGTTGTCATGGGTATCATGGTGAAGGTGGTGATGCCACTGTCTTACTTGTGAGGATTAAACTAACATAGGTCAAGTCTGTAAATCAGACCGTTAGAACATCATCAGCGCAGTAAGTGTCTGTGTCTCTGTCTCTCTTCCCTCCCTCCCTCCTCTTTATTACCTCTTTTTCCCCTCCCTTCCCCTCTCTCTTTTGAGATAGGGTTTCTCTGTATATCCTTGGCTGTCCTGAAACTCACTCTGTAGACCAGGCTGGCCTTGAATTCAGAGATTCCCCTGCCTCTTCCCTCTTGAGTGTGCTAAGATTAAAGGCACACACCACTGCTGAGCTATGAGCTGTTCTTAAATGGGGAGCTACAAAGAATGTCCTTGAGGGCTCAGAGGTCAAGAGCACTGGCCACTCTTCAGGTGGTTTTGAATTCAATGCCCAGCAACCACATGGTGACTCTCAACCATCTGTAATGGGATGTGCTGCCCTCTTCTGACATGCAGGCACAACACTATATACACATAATAAATCTTGAAAAAGAATAATCAGAAATTGGTTAACTTTGGGAATTATATATACACGTACATACATAGTTCACGTTAAAGAAGACACACACACACACATTTAGAGGTTCCCAAATTTTTCACAGCATCCTTAAAAATCTCAAGGTTAGGTAGGCCTATGGAGATGGCTCAGAGTTTAAGTACTTGCTACCCAAGCATGAGGACAGGAGTGCAGATACCCAGAAACCCACATAAGTGCCAGATGGGCATAGTGGCCACAGGAGCAAGTTGGCTAGCAAGACTTGCCTTATCAGTGAGCTCTAGGCTTGAGAGAGACCTTGTTCCAATGAATTAAGGTGAAAGAGCAACTGATGATAATTCTGAAAGTCATTGAAGGGCTTACACACATTCAAACCAATGAATATACCCAGCACAAACATACCTCTGTGTGTAAAATAGCTAAGGATAATCTCTGCCTTTTTACATGCACTTAGGCCAAAGGGTCATGTCGCAACACCTGTGTTACTCTTTGAAAAAATTAATTTTTTGAAAAACTACTTTCTGTATAACTCCCAATGACAGTCTGCCATTTTTAAGCACTGTACAGTAAATACAAGCTCTTATATTAGAACCAGCATGGACCTGCTTCCTACTTTTGTATGGATTTTTTCTATGACTCTTGCTTTTTATTATAGTAGTAACAGAATGTTACGATTTGGATATTATAGCTCCATTGAAAGGAATATACTAGAGCCTAACATGATCAATTGCTTTGTGTTGATAGTGCTTGCAGCACCTGTCTCGCTTGAATAAGGTGCCCCTCCTAGGGTACCTTGGCATTAGAACCTCACTGTATACCGTTGCATTATCTTTCCCCTTAAATATCTAAACTCAAAACAGGTTATTACAGGATTTCTTTTGTAACAGATTCAGAACCAAGGCATCCACTTAGGAACATTTAGAGCTGAAAACAGTAGGTGGAATTCTCACTATCTCTTGACTTTTTTTTTTTTTTTTAATTCCCAAGTCCCCTTTCCCATGGAAAAGTTGACTTGAAATCAGTTACCCTAATTATCAGATTATCAGCTACCCTTCTGATTACTCCTCGTATATGTTGCTGTCTCTCTTGTCTAATCACTCTGTTGTCACTGATCAGACTTGTCTCTCCTTACCTCAACATAGGAGTGTGTGTTGCATGCCTTGCCATCAGTTTAGTATCTTCTCTTCCAGTCCATGGCCAGAGCAGCAGCCCAGACTTTTTTCATGGTATTGACTGAAGTGTTACTTTATCAACTCATAAGGCATGTCATGTCAATTGCCAAATACCCCAGGCTGACATGGAGGTCCAGTGAGACATACTGGCTAAGTAATAGTTACCACATTGTCCACATGAGTGCCGCTCTTCCAGAGCCATGAGACTGAGCCAGAAACCCCAGAGTAACAGGCTTTAAGACTCAAGATTGTATGTGCACTCATTGAAGCCACAGAGGTGAAGCATCATCAGGCACTGGGTAAGAGGTTGGCACTTGTCTCTGTGTATGCGCTTTTATCAAAGATAGCAAGTAAAAGGTCTGACGGTGACAAGGGATGGTGGCAGTCATGTTGTGGAGCATAGATATCTGGTTGAGGCATAGTGAGGATGATATTAAGGGGAAAATTTACCAGGGAGGCTGAATGGTCACCTCTGTACTACTATAGGGAGTCATTTCCTTGCCCCCAGGCAGATGAGTGGTTCTGGTTGGCTTTTATCATTGTTTGTTTGTTTGTTTCCATTTGGGGGCGGGACTGACTGCTGTAGGAGTGAATTCTTGAAATTGTGGTGGGTGAGGATAAATGAGAGGTAACTCTCAAGTCCTGGACTGTTAACCTGTCTGCTCTATGACTTCCCTGCCCTTGCTCTCTTGGCACATGCTCAGTACACAGCATCAGAAGGAGAGGGAGGGTGTATGTATGTGTTCCTGTTCTATTCATTCTTGTTTGAGACATTTGTGTGTTTCAGGTTGGCTTTGAATTCATGATCTTGCCTCAGCCTCTCCAGTTTGGGGATTATAGGAGAAACCCGATTGTGGGAACAAAACTAGAGGTCTGTCTTTAGTTAGTATTATTGGCGCACGCACACAAACACACATGGCATGTCAGTCTCTCTCCATTCTAAAGCATTTTAAAGGAAAGAAACAACTGTAGTTGCTAGATTAATGTGTTTTACCATGCTTGCCTCCCAGTGAAGTTCCAGAGAATTACTACATCTTGGTGCTGAACCCATAGCTCACTTCTCTCCTCACTTTGGAGGATGCTACCCAAGGCCGTCCCATCAGATTTATGTGAGATAGGTACTCATTTTATTTCAGCTGTTGATGCCCTGTCACCACCTCTAATGCTGTGTTAGAGAGATACCAGCACAAGGCTTTATATCCACGAAGCCCTCCTTCAACCCTATTCCTAACAATATTCCTTCTGAACTGGGATCAGAGGGAGAGATTGCTAGTCCTTGACCTGTGGTTTATTTATTTATAAGGGTTAGTTTATCTCATTGAGATAGTTGGATGGACAAGTATGAACTTCTTTTTTAAAATGAGAGGTAACCTTTTATGAGATTTCTTTCCTCAGTAAACATGCATTATTTGAGTTACCCAGAAAAATGCTCTTAATTGTGAAGCTGTCCAAAGCCAGGTGAATAGACCTTATCTTGCTGTTCCTTCCTTTGTAGCTCTGGCCTAAATAGAAGTATTGACTTTGTGTTTCATAAGCCACAGTTACAAACAAGGACTTATATATCTTATCTTGTCATACAACCAGTATCATATAGGTCTTCAAGTGAGAAAAGAGTCACACAGGCTTATGAAACATAGCTATATATACCTTCTCCATTGTGAATTCTGTGGTTCTCAGTGGCTTTGCTTGTTCCTAATCAGCTCTTACCGAGTGCTCTGTCCCTGGTTTTTGATAGGTTATACCTATCTTCTGTGCTAGATGGTTAGTCTTTTTGTGGTACTGGGATTGTGTGTGCTAGGCATGTTTTTTTGTTTTGAATCTGACATAGTTGTCCAGAGAAGTCTTAGACTTGGCAAATTACCTTTCTCGTCCTCTAGGATTATAGGCCCTTATCACCAAGCCCAGCTAAATAGCCAGTCTTAGAAGAGACATACACTTTTAGTTGGGTCATGGAGTATCTCTCCCAGCCATTCAGACCAGACTCTTTGGAATCTCCAGCTAGGGTTCTTGTCATTTCTAGTGTGGTTCATGTGCTGTCTGGTTTCTGATGAGTTTTTTCTTTCCATATAGAGTGCCTGGTGAAGAATGTGATGGGATCACTAGCATGTCTACGGAGAGCGGCCCTGGGACAAGATTGAGAAATCTGCCAGTAATGGGGGATGGACTAGAAACCTCCCAAATGTCTACAACGCAGGCCCAGGCCCAACCCCAGCCAGCAAATGCAGCCAGCACCAATCCTCCACCCCCAGAGACCTCCAACCCTAATAAGCCCAAAAGGCAGACCAATCAACTGCAATACCTGCTCAGAGTGGTGCTCAAGACACTATGGAAACACCAGTTTGCGTGGCCTTTCCAACAGCCTGTGGACGCCGTCAAGCTGAACCTCCCTGTGAGTAGCTTCCAGGGCCTTTGCTACCACCACCCTCAGTCTCCTGGTGAAGGCACATTCTGCAGAAGGGTGGAAGTGGGTTTGGAGTCATGGTAAGAACAATGAACACCAGTATCCACAGTGGCAAATTAAACAGGAAAAGAAAAGGGGGAAGCTTAGACATACACTGTTTGCTTAGTTAATTGGGACCCCGGGGAAGGTTAAAACAAGGTGAGCTGAAGTCGGAGCCCCAACTAGTAGTCCAAAAGGGGACTGTTTACTTCAGCAACAGTTACTTGCATCATCTGTCACCAGAATACTGCCATGCTGGTAAAGACAGTGGAGCATCTTCTAGGGAACATGGTTGAAGGGAACTGTGCTACATGCCCCCTGGAGATACTATACATCCTACCCACCACCACAACATACCCGATTTTGTTTTTTTCTCTTTCTTGGAGAATGTCCCATCTTACACATCCCTAGCAAACATCTCTATTATATTATCTGAGCTACCTCACTGAACCCCAGGGAGTGGTTGGAACAGATGCTTTCATATTTCTCCTTCAAAAGCCAATGCTTGGTTTCTTTTTCTTTTTGGTTTTTCGAGACAGGGTTTCCCTGTGTAGCTTTGGAGGCTGTCCTGGAACTGACTCTTGTAGACCAGGTTGGTCCGGAAAGGCGTGTGCCACCACCGCCTGGGTCAATGCTAGTTTTTTAAGTTGCTCTCTGGAATGTGTTAAGTTCTATGCCCTCCTGGCAAATGTGTTATGCTTTGGTAGCCATTATCTAGGGTGGGTCGTGAACTTGCTAGAAAGAAGATGTGTGGGGGAGTAGTGTCCACCATTGATAAGATAAGCAATGCAAGCATCTGGCAATGGTTGACTGTAGGTTACTCAGGACGCTGTTTGGGGAGCTTAATGGCACAGGTCTGTAGCAGGGTCCACAGGTTAAAAAAAAAGTTCCTGTTGTTTTGCTGTGAAGAGACACCATGATCAAGGCAACTCATAAAAGAAAGTGTTTAATTGGGGACTTGTTTACAGTTTCAGAGGGGTTAAGTTAGTTGATGACCATCATGGCTGCAAGTATGGCAACAGGCAGGCATGGTGTTGGAAAAGGAGCTAAGAACTCCCAATCTGCAAGATGAAAGCAGAGAGAGTGAGAGTAAAGTCTGGCACTCCCATCACACACCTTTTCCAAAAAGGCCACACAACTCCAAATCCTTCCTAAACAATCTACCAATTAGGGACCAAGCATTCCAGTATATGAGCGTTTGGGAACTATGCTTATTCAAACCACCACAGCAACATTCTTAGATCAAATGGAATAGAAGGAACTGGACTTTCATGAGAAGAGAAGAGAGGCCTTATCAAAAAGAGTTCATTAAACAGCAGTCCCCAGAGTTCTACATTAGAGAACATGAGATCAAAAAGATGAGGGGATGGCTGTTAGGAGATCATTAATAGCCTCAGAATAGACGGTCAGTTTGTTATAGGAGGAAACAATAGGAGCAGAGGCACAGAGTCCTGAAAGGGCAAAGACCAAGGCAGGGGATTGCTAGGGGACTCAGGTGACGTCACAGGGATATCTTGACAAGTATATGATAGGTGAGGCTCGACTGTTAAAATCTGTCAAGTGCAGTGGCTGAAACTCTTGAAGGTGGGCCAGAATTTCCCTTTCTTGGATGGTGTGAATCCTATCACTCTGATAATTTGGATGTCCACCTTTAGCAGCCTTTAAAAAAAAAAAAAAAAAAAAAAAAACAGAATCTTGTGTGTTCTAGACTGGCCTTTGAACTCCATATTCTTCTACCCACATACTTCCTAAGTTCTAGAATTGCCCTGTGCACCTCCATTGATGTGATGTCTTGAAAGAAAAGCTGCTGGGTAAGAGTGATCTCAAGAGACCCTTTACTAGTAGACCTGGGAGCTAACCTGCTATGGGCCCGAGAGAGAGCTCAGACTTTTCAGGAGTTGTTAGAAAGCCACCTTCCAGGTTCCTCACATGCATTCTGACCTGTTGTCCTGCCTGAAGCCTACCGCCTTAGCTCTCAGCTCCTCTCCCTGATATACTTTCATCCTACTGCTCGCTTGCCCTTACTATGTCCTCTAAACCTTGAGTGACTTAGCACAGTATACAATGCAGGGCCAAATACTATTCTCAGAGTTTTGTTCACAGAATAAAATCTGTCTAGATTTTTTTGTCATTATTTCTCTTGAGAACGCGGTAGAGACAGCATGAAATAGGTTTGAAAGTCTGGTTTTGAGTTGCCTTTTGGTTTGGGTGCACACATGTAGCCAACCTGTGCCTCCTCTTACATGGGTAATAATGGCTTTTTCTTTCTTTATGGGTGTCAGCACAACTTAAAACCTCATTGCCCACTTTAATTTTGGGACAGTACCCTGATGCTCTCCTCTGTCTCTCAATCTCCAAGAACCACTTTTTAAAAGGCGGTGTGATTTCCCTGGTACTTATAACATCCTAAAAGAGAAGGGGAGCTTATAAGCGCCCGTGTCCCGTTGCCCCCCCCCCCAGAAGCTAATGACAGTTGATGGCTGCTGGGCAAGGAGAGTCAGTTTTCTTTGTGGGCATGTCTACTGGGAGATTGCTGATGCTCCTAAGGATCCTACCCAGGTGCATCCAGGCAGCACTGATTTAACTCAGTGGAATATTTAAAAAGGACAAGAAGGAGGCCTGGATGAGGGGACTGGGGGATGAGGGCAAATATGATCAAGATACACTGTGCATACAAAATTAATCCCTTTTGTGGGGGCTGGGGGTGGGTTTAAAAAGTATTTTCGTTTATTTTCTCTGTTAGCCTGTTAGCTTGTACATTTGCCATCTAGTGTTTAGGAATCTGTCCACATTGCCTTTAGTTGTTTACTGACACCATGAAAAAGATCTTTGACTGGTGAGAGAGGGCTCAAGCATGACTGACTGCTCAGGTGACTCTGGCCTTCTTTGATCTCTCTGCTCCTCAGGATTACTATAAGATCATTAAAACACCCATGGACATGGGAACAATAAAGAAGCGCTTGGAAAACAACTATTACTGGAATGCTCAGGAATGTATCCAGGACTTCAACACTATGTTTACAAATTGTTACATCTATAACAAGGTGAGATGTGGATGGCAGGAGCCCAGCTGCCTTGCTTGGGAAGGAGAGGAAGCAAAAATGGGGCACCTGTTAGGAGTTGGGGGCAGGGTTATTGGGAGCATTTGGGCTGTATGACATTAAGAGACTTCCGGAGGTAGGGTGATGGGACCTGTAATTGTGCCTAGGACTGGGCATTTCTTTTGTGGGGAGGGTACTGTCCTGTTAGCCTGAAGCACCTGCCTCTATTACTCTGGGGATTTTCTTTTAGTTCTTGAGCATGTCTGGTAGGGAACATATGACGACAGATGAAAGAACGTGTGCACTAGAGTCTTGAGGTGTGCTCAGGCACACACCTTCAAACCTTGACGTGAGAGGGTACAATGGGGTTAGTTGCAGACCCCAGCTGTTCTGTGGGTCACAGTCTCCTGGAACTGTGGACATGGCCATAAAATCGAGTGTCCCCCTGGTCTTACATTTAGACCCAAGGGTCACTTCCTTAACCCCGTAGCCAAATCTTGCGGCTCGGCTGTGCCATGAAGCCAGATCATTTGTTTACAGTTCAGACCACAGATGTGATTAAAACCAACCCTTTCAAATAGAACGACTCTGGAGGGAGACACTATACACAACTCAGCTTTTGACCTCTGCTCGTGTAGTGGGTAAAATTGCCCAGAAGAGATGGGTAGGTGAGTTTCTTGAAGTTTACTGTGTTTTGTAAAGCCTTAGTTCTCACCACTTAGGTGAAAAGCAAAATGTACAAAATGGTTTAGAGCTGAATGGGGACAGCATGTTCTGGACATGGTAATAGAGTGGGGATCCATAAGACACTGTGGTAAGAGCTTACCCAAACTCCATTGAGTTGCCTCTGGGGTATATTGGGGAGCACTGTTGGAGCCCTACAAAGTATTCATCACAAATGCTGTGTGATTTGAGTATTTTTAGTGAATTCATTTGAGTTATATTTGAAGAAGCCCCAAAATAATGGAGGGCCTCCTGTTATAAATTGACTGAGTTGGTAGGTACATAAGGCACAAGGATGGTTTCTTGGAGCTTAAAACTGAAAGGGAGATACAGGTGGACAGGTCTTGTTAGGGATACCTAGTAGCATAACCATTGTGGCCCCTTGGAGTCCAGATCAAGAAGGAGCCTGGATACAATGTTCCATGTGTTTGGGGCATGGGGGTGGCCTTGGTGTCCTGACCACAAAGATGGGAAGAGGGGCCTTCCAGCTCTACCCCACTTGTTTCCCCATCCAGCCTGGAGATGACATCGTCTTAATGGCAGAAGCTTTGGAGAAACTCTTCTTGCAAAAAATCAATGAACTGCCCACAGAAGAAACAGAGATCATGATAGTCCAGACAAAAGGAAGAGGACGAGGGAGGAAAGAAACAGGTAGAGTATTTGAAATAGCAAGTAAATTGACCGTGTTTTTCCTTTATCTTTATTTTCCAAGGTTAGAAGAGTACCAGGGATTTCAGTGCTGTTGTTTGAACAGGATGGGGTCAGTTTCAGGATTGCCTGTGCTCCCAGGGGTCCCATGGATCTGAGGTCCTACCCTGACAGAAGTCATTGGGCCCTGAGTGGTTGATGGACTTAAAATAGAAAAAGAAAGCATGACTTTTCCAAGTACTTTGATGTTTGAATTCTTCACATTTAGTGCTTGCTTGTTTTTTCAAGATGGCTTCTCTATGTAAAACAGTCCTGACTACCCTGGAACTCTATAGATCTGAGATCCATCTGCCTCACAAGTGCTGGGATTAAAGGCATGTGTCACCACTGCTTTTCTATCTTAATTTTATTATTTATTTTGTACTTCTAAAGCTTATATCCAGTGCCACAAACATTGTTAGGTAAGCACTTAAGTATTGAGTTTCATCCTTAGCCCTGCTTTTCCATTTTAGAATAAAGAAATTAATTTGGCCAGAAACTATTTATTGTAACTAGTGTTCCAATCCAAAAACCTTAAGGTTTATTATCTAAATTGCTTTATTGAACTGTGCCAGTCAGGTTCACCCCTGATGCTCAGTCATCTGAAGCCAATAACTTCTTATTTATCTGCATATCCTGCCTCTTCTTTGTCTATGTCCTTTATGGTTCTGACCTGCAAAAGGGTGACAGTTCAGGTCGCTCCTGGAAATGAGTTTGCTTCTTTATAGAGATGCTTTTAGCCTGGCCTCCCACCTTGCTCCAAATTGACAAAGACACGGGGGACTGATAAATCCAATACCAGAGAATACCAGTCTCCCCACCCCCACATTTCTCCCTCCTTCTTCCCCACCCTTTTAGGCAGGATCTCTGTGTTAACTCAGACTTCATGCCTCAGCCGGGCGGTGGTGGCGCATGCCTTTAGTCTCAGCACTCGGGAGGCAGAGACAATCGGATCTCTGTGAGTTCGAGACCAGCCTGGTCTACAAGAGCTAGTTCCAGGACAGCCTCCAAAGCCACAGAGAAACCCTGTCTTGAAAAACAACAAAAAACAAAACTTCATGCCTCTTGTATTGGCATTAGAGCTATACACTGCTACTCAAAACCTGGTCACTCTTTTGTCATTTATACATTATTAAGTCACTTTCCTTATCCATACATTCAGACTTCAACTTTTGCTTTCAGGGACCAACAGTTAGGATTAATTGTCTACTAGCCCCCAGTAGCTCTGAGAGTTGAGGTCATGCTAGTTTTCAGAAGCCTTACAAGGTTGGCTGCTGTTGGATTCTGCCAAAAGCACTCTGAAGGTAATATTTCTAGGAATGAAGAAAGCTGTTTGGATTCTTAAGGAACATTTTTCTGATTTCTCTGTGCAGCCCTTGTGCTAAAACTCAGCAAATAGATTTCCTACTTTTTTAGCTTGGGCTTCCCTTCTTATGTCTGAATGAGAAATTGCCACCAGGACACCTCAGGAAATGTAGTATGAATTGCCTGCTGCTGCCCTCTCAACCCTGGTGCACAGTGATGTCTGGAATGTACCACACAAATGTGTATGGGAGTTATATTGTTTTGTCAGGGTCAGCCAGTGTGTGCCAGCATATCCTTATAACCCCCTATTCTTTTTATGATTGGTAGGGACAGCAAAGCCTGGTGTATCCACGGTACCAAATGCAACTCAAGCATCAACTCCTCCGCAGACCCAGACACCTCAGCAGAACCCTCCTCCACCTGTGCAGGCCACAACTCACCCCTTTCCTGCTGTCACCCCAGACCTCATTGTCCAGCCTCCTATCGTGACAGTGGTGCCCCCCCAGCCACTTCAGACGCCTCCACCAGTACCCCCCCAGCCACCACCCCCACCTGCTCCAGCTCCACAGCCTGTGCAGAGTCACACGCCCATCATTGCAGCCACCCCACAGCCTGTGAAGGTGAGCATCCTGGGCACTGGTGGACTGCTGCCACCGGAGATGGGCTGGGAAGAGAACAGGTAGTTGTTCTTCTATGGGCTCTGTGGTCAGGGCCCTGCTATTAATCAGGAAACCTCTTCATTAGGTTTTGTGGCCTCTAAGGGGAGCAAATACTGTAATTAGTTTTGTGCTTTTCTGTTGTTGACTTGTCCTATCCCACCTGTGGGAAAGCAGTGGTATGACAGGGTCTCCATGCAGTTAATTTGGGGCCTGTCCTGAGTGTTGGGATCCTAGTCAGGGCTTGGTTTCAGAGGTCATCCTGAAGAGCAGCTGTACCAGCCAGAGCCTCTGATTGAGCCTTTTGTGCCTCTGCTCATGGCAGACAAAGAAAGGGGTGAAGAGGAAAGCAGATACCACCACCCCCACCACCATGGACCCCATTCATGAGCCGCCCTCACTGGCCCCAGAGCCCAAGACCGCCAAGCTGGGTCCTCGGCGGGAGAGCAGCAGACCTGTGAAGCCCCCAAAGAAGGATGTACCGGACTCACAGCAACACCCAGCACCAGAGAAGAACAGCAAGATCTCTGAGCAGCTGAAGTGCTGCAGTGTCATCCTCAAGGAGATGTTTACCAAGAAACACGCTTCCTATGCCTGGCCCTTCTACAAGCCTGTGGATGTGGAGGCACTGGGGCTGCACGACTACTGTGACATCATTAAACATCCCATGGACATGAGCACAATTAAGGTTAGCCACCAGGCCCCTGGGATGGTGGGCAGAGACAGGATTTCTCCTAGACCAACCCAATAAATCCATGGGTGCTCCCTGCAGGACATTGTTGAAACACACATTAACCTAGTATATTTGGCCATTTTGGTTTAGGTAATGGTTCTACCTCTTTTCTTTATGTAAGGAGATGCACACTGTGAGACTCTCTCAATGCTCCTGGGCACCTTAACCTGGCAGATGCAGTTGGAGACTTTGGATACTCTAGGTTCAATGCAATGGAAAGGCTTTGCTGTCTTTTCTGTAGGAGACACAACACTATCTACCAACATCTTCACCAGTGTTCTTACTGCCTTTTTTTTTTTTTTTTCTCCCCTCTTTTAATAATTGCAATTTTTCTCCTAGAAGTAGAATAACATTGCTCAAACAGGAGACAATGCTGTGTTCCTTGAACCTACTTCTAATCTACCTTCTTAATCTCTGAGTCATCTCTCCAGCTAGTCTGTATCTTTAATACAAGCACATCCCAATACCCTAGCTTGAATTAAACTGAGAGCCACTAAGAGAAGAGGCCACCTTGTTTCCACAAATACCACTGTGCGCGCGCGCGCGCACACACACACACACACACACACACACACACACACACTCACACACACTCACACTCACACTCACTCACTCATTAGAACATGAACAGACATGGCTAACTAGGACCTATCTCGTATTTCCAGTCTAAACTAGAGTCCCGTGAGTACAGAGATGCCCAGGAATTTGGTGCTGATGTCCGATTGATGTTCTCCAACTGCTACAAGTACAACCCCCCTGACCATGAAGTGGTTGCCATGGCTCGAAAACTCCAGGTGAGGTGCTTAGAAGGGTAGGCCATACCTTATGTGGGCCTGGGCAGGTTGTAATTCTGTTATTTCACTCATAATAATGCTGGGGACTTGGGAAGAGGTTTGCTTTTTGTTGTTGTTTGCTTGTTTGGTTTTGGAGGCATGGTCTCTTTTATGTAGTCCTGGCTGTTCTAGAACTCAGTATAGACCAGGCTGATAACAAACTAGCAGAGTTTCCCCTGTCTAGCTCCTCTGAACAGCATACATAACATTTTAAGTAATGGAATATATAACATTTTAAGTCAGAGTTGTTAAAACTGAAACAGGGTGGCTGGTTTTGTGTCCCACTGAAAGTCTTTTCTCCCTTCTCCTCCATCTGCATTCTGTTGCTCTAGTTGAAAAAGCATGTGTGTTGTGCTTGGGCCCAGTCTCTTCAAAATAGAAGAGGCTTACCTGTCTTAAGTAGGCAGGGCCACTCCCATCAGGTGTGAACATTGTGCCACAGTTGTATTCACACGTGAGCCAGAGTAGCGGGATGTTTTCCCACCAGTTTTGGGAGCCTTTATTTGCCTTTTAGTTGCAAGACGGCTGTTTATATGTTGGTCCATGTGGTCATGGATCCTAGTAGATTTAGTAGTTCGTAGGCTCTGTCCTTGAAGTTGAGAGTCCTGAAGAGTTCACAAGTTGAACAGCATTAATGTGTGAACTGTTTGCACTTTTCATTTATGGACTCAGTCTCATACTGTACCCTAGACAGGCCTCAAACTATCAGTACTCCTCTTGTATCAGCTTTCCCAGTACTGGGATTATAGATGTTAGTTACCACAGCTCTCGTCTGTCCCCCCTCTCCCCCCCAGAAGCTTTGATGGTTAAAACTGGAGAATAAAGGCACTATTTAATACCTTTATGAACTGCCTTTTACTTATTTTTAATTTTATTTATGGGTCTGTGTATGCCATGTGTATGGGTACCCACGGAGGCCAGAAGAGTTAAAGGGAGTTGTGAACTGCCTGACGTGGGTGCTGGGAACTGAATTTGAAACCTGTAAGGTGCAAGTGCTCTAACCACTTAGCAATCTCTCCAGTCCCCAGACCTACCTTTTAAAGGAAACTATAAGATCATGATTCCCAGCCATTTCTTCCTTGGTGCATAGGTTGCTGTTGCTCTTAGGTCAGTGCTCTATTGACTGAGCACCCCGCTGTTAAGAGGCACGGGTATGTTGATTGTGGATCTCAAAGCTTCCTTAGGTCTGTTTACATAGCAGTCTCTGGGTACTTCCGGGGCAGAGATCAGGTTTTGCAAAGTTCTGGTGACCCCATTGGTCTTTGTCACACAGAGGTCACTCAATCCCCAGTGATTCCCTGCTTCTGTTTGGCTTCACTTATGTGCCACAAGATAGTATCTTTTCCTTTCATCAGAGTTAAGATAATTGTGTCATTTGGCTTCTGGTGATGGGTTGCCTTTGGTTCAGAGAACTTGTCAAATTAAAGGGTAGCTTGATAGGATTGTTGTCAGTGTTAACCTGGCCTTTAAAATTCAAATTCTTGCTCATACTGGAAGGATATATTTGTTTTGTTTTTCATTTGTGTATATGGGTATTTTGACTGTATGTCTGTGCCTGGTGCCTGTCCAAGCCAGAAGAGGATAGCAGATCCACTAGACTGGAATTGTGAGCTGTCAGTCACCTTGTAGGTGCTAGGGACCAAACCTAAATCCCCTGCAAGAACATCCAGTGCTCTTTAACCACTGAGCCATCTCTCTAGCGCCTAGAAAGTTTTTATCTTTGTTGTATTTTTTCTAACTTGCACTGGGGCCTAGTGTTCCCTCTCCAATTTGGTGTTAATCCATCCTTTACTAGTCATTATGAAATTTAATCTTTTTAGTTTTACTAAGATTCTTTTTAAAATGTTTTATTTATTAGAGATAGTCTCATGGAGTATCTCTGGCTTTATCCCTACTTCTGCCTCTGGCTTTATCCCTACTTCTGCCTCCTAAGTGCTGGGACTAAAAGTTATGCTTCACCCAATCCAGCTGACTGCAATTTTTTGTTTTGTTTTTGTCTGTTTTTTGAGACAGAGTTTCTCTGTATTGCTTTGGAGGCTGTCCTGGAACTCTCGTGGCCTTTAACTGACTGCCTTGCCAGCCTCTGCCTCCTGAGTGCTGGGATTAAAGGCGTACGCCACCAACACCTGTCCTGACTGCAATTCTTATACAGGTCCACCAAGTGGCAGTGTGCCTTCAGACCTTAGGTCCCCTCCTTCTCTCCCTCACAGTTTCTTGAGAAGCCAGGGTGGGTAGTATTTGCCCACAGGGCCCAGATTTTATATCTGTGGGCTATTTATTTGCCCCCATTGAGGAAATTGCAAAACTCACGTCAGTTACCTGGAAAAAGCAGTCTTGAACTACTATAAAAGAGGGGAAAGAAACCACTCTATTGTCTAGCTTTCCTTTTTGACTTTTTTTCCTGTCATGCTGGTACCTTGCCACAAGCTACTTCCTTTTTATAAAAATCTATACGTCTCTGAAATAGGGTCTTTTGGTTTGGTTTGGTTTTACATTTTGGTGTCTTGTTTAAGGGTGTGTGTGGGGGGGTCAGTCTTGTCTCTGTTTAAAGGAGGGGGTGCACATGTATGGTCTGTCTGTCTGTGTACTCTTAGTGGGTGAAGCTGTCCAAGCATGCCATTTCCACTCATGGTATGATCACCAAGCTATCTGCCACTTAGCAACCTCTAGAGATGAGTTTTTCCTGGGCATTGACCTGTTAACAAGCTTGCCTTAGATGAGATGCCTATTCTCAAAGAGGGTCTGCTTGAGGCGCAGGAGTGGGAGGTTCTTTGCCAGTGTTTCTGAAAGTAGCATTCTTTAGCCAGGGGAAGTTTCCCTTCTGGAAGGCAGTTGTGTTTATAGAATCTTTGTGCTTTGTATTCTTTTTTTCTAAATTCTCTTTATCAGAATGCTACCCGTGCTTACTTACCTCTTTAAGAGATACAGAGGGGGACGAGAGAAATGACTAAGCAGTTAAGATTGTTTTCTGTGCATCATTTAGATCTTAGAACCCACATAATAAGCTAGGCATCCTGCACGTGCTTATAGCCCCAATTCTGAGGGGAATGGAGACATTAGGATAACTAGCCCCTGCTAGCTTCATACCTGGCTAAGAGAGCATGAACCCCAGGTTCTGAGAGAGACTCTCCAGTAAATAGGTGAATAATAAAGGAAGAAACCTCATGTCCTTTTTTGGTGTATGAGTGTGCATATAGGTGTGCACACCCACTAAAACAAAATTTTAAAAAAGCTGTATTGAGACCAACTAGGTTTCCTTTTTGGTTTTTCGAGATAGGGTTTCTCTGTGTAACAGTCCTTGTTGTCCTGGAACTTGCTTTGTAGACAGCAAACAGGCTGGCCTCAAATTCACTGAGATCCAACTACCTCGAGCCCCCCCCCCCAAAAAAAAAAAAAAAAAAAAAAAAAAAAGAAGAAGAAGAAAGGAAAGAAAGAAAGCATGCATGGTAGGGGAATTGCAGCTGTAGTGAACACACTACAATTCTTTTTTGTTGTTTTGGCTTGTTTTTGTTTTGGGGTTTTTTGGTTTTCGAGACAGGGTTTCTCTTTGGCTTTGGAGACTATCCTAGAACTTGCTGTGTAGATCAGGCTGGTCTGGAACTCACAGAGATCCACCTGCCTCTGCTTCCCGAGTGCTGGGATTAAAGGCAAAGGCAGTCGGCCCAACAAGAGGTCTGATTGTTACATTTCCCCAGTGAGTGCTACTGTTGCTGGTCCTGATATCCACTGTCTTACTCTGGGCCGACAAAAAGAGAAGAATGGGTCATATAGCTGAAGACATTGTGGAAGCCAGTAGCTTTATCTTTGCTTGAGGATACTGTCTCACCTTGACCAGCTTCCTGTCTTGTATTCCTTGCTGCTTGGGCAAGTCAGAGCACTTATTGAATGAGAGGAGCCTATGCACCCCACTCACGTACATAATAGCCATTTGTGAAAAGAATGGAAACTTTATACTAAAACGTATTTCAGAGCTGGCCCAGGAAGGGTGGACATAGATATGGGCCTGAAACAGCTTCTCCTTGAGCCTTCCCTATGTTATGGGAAGGAGAATTGTTTCCCTTACAAAGTCCTGGTCTTAACCGGCACCCATGGCTCTGGCTGCTCCCTGCCCTGTGCCCCCTCCCCCCCAATATGTTGGGAAAGCCAAACAGAGAATGATGGGATGGCTAAGGGCAGAGTCAGAGGAGTTGCCAGGCAGATGTTGGGCACACAAAATGGGATAGAGGTAAAAAGCCACGAGCCTCAGGGCATCATGTAGATTAATAGAAATGGGTTAAGTTGTAAGAGGTAGCTAGTAACAAGCATGAGCTATTGGCTGAGCATTTGTAATTAATATAAGCTTCTAAGTGATTATTTGAGAGCAGCTGCGGAACAGGAATTCCCCCCCCCCCCCTCGAGACAGGGTTTCTCTGTATTGCTTTGGACGATGTCCAGGCTGGCCATGAACTCATAGAGATCCGCCTTCCTCTGCCTCCTGTGTGCTGGGACTAAAGGCGTGCACCACTAACACTTGGTGACAGGAAAACTCTTGACTACACACATCTTTTGGAAGCAGGGACACACACAAAAAGGAATGTCCCTTTATTGTGTGAATTGCTACACTGATCATTTTGTTCTTTGAAATTTTCATACACTATATTTTTACATTATACATGCCCCTTTCCTCCCCTTAATTCCTCCTAGATCCATCTTTCATCTTTATGCCATTCTTAAAGTAGACCTAAAAAAAAGCAGTCCTTATTCCTTACATGTCTGTTCTGTGAGTCATCATTGGATTGATTGAGTATGGTTTGCTGCATGAGACTTGATCCCTAGGAGCACAGGCAGGGTCTACTGCTCCATGAGTACTGTTACTCCATGTAACTCTCTGCTGGTCTCAAGAATCTGCTCTGATTGATTACAACTCATAATATAATCCTTCCCTACACCTGCCGTTAACATCCCATAACTCTACCTGGCATTGCTCAGCTAAGTGTTCATGAAATGTTGTATGAAAGCAGACACAGACACGTGTGTGCTCTGCCATGAATGTTCAACTCAGAGTCTTTGCCAGTACTGTTTTCCTGTTTTCTGTCTTTGGAAGACCAGCAAACTCTCCTGTCAGAGAGCTACAGAGACTTGTACGCATGTTTTCTGGATGCTCTTGGTTGTTGCCTGCTGCTTACTGAGCATCATCAAACTGATGTTCTCAAGATACACCTGGGTCACTGTATCCTCCAGGGAATGATTGCCCAGCCAGATCAGGAGTGGAGTGGTTACACACACACACACACACACACACACGCACGCACGCACGCGCGCGCGCGGCATGGGGAGGGTATCCTATGGATCTCTTAATTCCTGTTGATTTGGTCAAAGAGGCTCGAAAAGCTACACACCCTTATAAGCATGACTTTCCCTCCCCAGGAGGTATTTGAAATGCGCTTTGCCAAGATGCCTGATGAGCCTGAAGAGCCTGTCGTTACGGTGTCCTCTCCTGCGGTGCCACCTCCTACAAAGGTGGTGGCCCAACCCTCATCTAGTGACAGCAGCAGTGATAGTTCCTCTGACAGTGACAGTTCCACTGACGACTCAGAGGAAGAGCGAGCCCAGCGGCTGGCTGAGCTCCAGGAGCAGGTAAGGGAACCTGTGGTTCTATGCCCAGAGGCCAAGGTAGTCTCTCAGAGGTTTCCAAGAGATGTTCTTGATTCTACATCTCAAAAGATCCCCTTATATGGCATTTCCTCTTTACTTAGTCAATGGAACATTAAAACCATAGATGTATATGCTATGTGTTTTGAGTAGGACTGGGGCATGCATATTTTCTGGGCACATTAGCTTCAGGAGCCTGAAGCTGCCTGTCAACAGTAATCTTTTATGTTTGAGATGGTCTTTAAGTCCCAGTGTTTTAGTATACTCTTAGCCCTTTAGAAACCTTCCTCCTTAGAAACATCCCGTGACTAAGATAGCCAGGAGATTTAGAATCTGTCAGCGTGTGCAGCTCCTGTTGTGGAGATTGTAGCAATCCTTGGGGATCAGGTAGTGGGTGGACACTTTAATTTGGCAGGTCCATGGCTAGAAGCCAGCCCATCCTTTGCTTCTCCCATACCCACAGCCTGATACCCAAGTGCACACTGTTCAACTGATTTATTCCTTATTTATTCAACTGAGTTATTCCTTCCTGGGTTTAGGTGATAAAAAGAATGTCTCAGTTCTGGTTGTGGGTGGGTCAGTTTGCTTTTGCAACAGGTTTCCTCTGTGTAGCCCTGGTTAGTCTGGAGCTCAGAGAGACCTATCTACTTCTGCCTCCCAAATGTGGGAAGGGGCTTTTTAGACCAGGCCTGGTTGTGATTTGATTGATTGATTGATTGATTGATTGACTGACTGACTGACTGACTGATGGATGGATGGATGGCCTGTTTGTTTCACAGCTCAAAGCGGTACATGAGCAGCTTGCAGCCCTCTCACAGCCCCAGCAGAACAAACCAAAGAAAAAGGAGAAGGACAAGAAAGAAAAGAAAAAGGAAAAGCACAAAAAGAAAGAGGAAATGGAGGAAAATAAGAAAAGCAAAGCCAAGGAACTTCCTCCGAAAAAGACAAAGAAAAATAACAGTAGCAACAGCAATGTGAGGTCTGTGCTTCCCAATTTTTCCATCTTTGGTAGTAGTGATCCCCAAAACCCAAGGCAGGGAGGAAGACCACTCTGTTGTTGCAGCACCAGTCTGGGTTGGTGTCCTGTTATTAGCACTTAGCTCTTTGTTCCTCCCCCCCACCCCCACCCTTGCTTTTTTTTCCCCTGAATGAGCGTTGGTAGCTCACTGTGTTTGAGAAGAGAGAGTGCAGGTGGCTATCGTGCAGCCACAGCAGAGCTTCAGCTCCCGCGGCATGCTAGAGTTTACTGCTGGTCTTCTCCTTGCTAGTTGCCTTAAATCCTATTTCTAGTTGGGTGTGGGCAGTCAATGCCCACCCGTTCACCCCACCCTCACCAGTCCTTTAACTATACATTCAGAGGGGTGTGTGCAAATCTTCCTCAGGAGACCCATTCATTCTTAACTGTCTGCATCATCCCTTCATAGCAAGAAGGAACCAGCACCCATGAAAAGCAAGCCCCCTCCCACATACGAATCAGAAGAAGAGGACAAGTGTAAGCCCATGTCCTATGAGGAGAAGAGGCAGCTAAGTCTAGACATCAACAAACTTCCTGGTGAGAAGCTGGGCCGTGTAGTACACATCATCCAGTCAAGGGAGCCGTCACTCAAGAACTCCAATCCTGATGAGATTGAGATTGACTTTGAGACTCTGAAACCGTCCACACTGCGGGAGTTGGAACGCTATGTCACCTCTTGTTTGCGGAAGAAAAGGAAACCTCAAGGTACACTTGAGAACTCTTTGTATAGAAGTCCTTCCCATGGAGATCCTTAGTTAGCCCTCTTAGCACCAGCTTAGCACTCCATACTTGAAACCCTACTCACTTACCCACCCCCACAACCTTTGCCCTAGAAGCCTCAAGAATGACACTGCACTGAACCCTGGGTTGTCATTGCCCTTCTGGCCCTCTTTGGCTTGCTGAAGCCTTCCTGAACCTGTCCATTGAGCCTTACTCTAAACAGCAGTTGTTTTCATCTCTGGTTGCTAGCCATACAGTCCTTTTCAAAAGTGTTCTCCCTCCTCTGTTGAGGTGACCCCAGGAGGAAAGGGGTGCCTATATATCTGGGGTATATTCTTATTGATGTTAGTTCATACTGAGCCCTACTTTTTCTAGTGGGGGTGATGCCCACCCTATCCTTGACACCAGCCTTCCAGACATCTCTTCCATTTTTATATATGCTCCACATTGGCCTGTAGCTTTTCTCCTAGTACTAGAGTGTTGAGCTTAGCATGTATGTTAAAGTATTTTTTATGCCCTGCTTTCTTGGTCCCTAGAACTTTATTCTGGATCTGCTGTTTAGTGACAATATTTGGGTTTCACTCTTGCATGTTAATGTAGTGCATCTTGCTTTGCCAGTGAACTTCTGGTGGTGGCCACACCCTATGGGCATGGCTTCATGTGTTCAGATGTGACCCCTTATAAGGTAGAGGAGAGAGGCTGGCTCACTCTCTTGGATTATGGTGAGAGCATCTGAAAGGCAGAGACTCCATTTTCTGGAGCAGGAAGATCATTCTTTTTTTTTTTTTTTTAAAGATTTTATTTATTTATTATGTATACAGTCTTCTGCCTGCACTCCAACACCAGATCTCATTCACGGTGGTTGTGAGCCACCATGTGGTTGCTGGGAATTGAACTCAGGACCTCTGGAAGAACAGTCAGTGCTCTTAACCGCTGAGCCATCTCTCAGGCCCCCAGGAAGGTCATTCTATGTACACATTGCCCATGGCTTGGCATCCCGTTCCCCACTTTCTGTGTGTGTAACTAATTATTCTAGCATAGTGTTAAAGGGGTCACGTCTGAACACCTGAAGCCATGCCGGTAGAGTGTGGCTCCTACTGCAAGTTCACTGGCAAAGCAAAATGCACTACACGTCATACCCTGTATAAAGAATACCTCTTCACCCAAGGCTAGCATATGAAGATATGCCTGGTCTCCTGAATCCTTGGGAAACCTTTCAGAGATTGATGAGGCCTTAAATTTTGTAGCACATGCCATGTTTCAGCTAGTGTGAAGTGCGCTACCAGTGAGAATGATGTGACTACTGTCTGAATTGGTAGCAGCTGTTAGGAGCAGTCTGACCTTTGGGGTACATACTTCTCACTGGTCCTTCCTCTGGGCAGTTGGGAGTACACTGTGACTAGCAGCAGCTGCTTGGGTTGGTGTCCTTTCTGACACAGGTCTGTTATTTGGGTTATAGCTGAAAAAGTTGATGTGATTGCTGGTTCTTCCAAGATGAAGGGCTTCTCATCCTCTGAGTCGGAGAGCACCAGCGAATCCAGCTCCTCTGACAGTGAAGACTCTGAAACAGGTTAGTTGACTTCAATTTAAGAGTCTTGGGGGGCGGGGGGTTGTTGAGATAGGGTTTCTCTGTGTAGCTTTGTAGACCAGGCTGGCCTTGAACTCACAGAGATCCGCCCCGGAGTGCTGGGATTAAAGGAGTGCACCACCGCCTGCCCTCAATTTAAGCATCTTATCGAACTACCCCATTCTTCACTGGTAGTAGCTCAGTCCTTGGTCTAGGTTGTTCAAGAGCCCAGAGTTGGTGGTCACTGAGGACTCCCTGGACTCCCTACTGACTACCCATTCACCATGTTAACCTTTCTCCCTGCAATGTGGCAAGACACCTTGTATAGTAGCACGCTATTCTTTCCATCAGGGTAGAGGCAGACCTTGAGGACTGTAGGTGTTTTAGTCCCAATCAACCTTGTTGTGGAATGCTTCTGCTCCCCTTCCAGTATTCTGGCATGACAGTTGTCATGAAAACAGTTTTGGTCACATTTTAGCAGAGAGTAGAGCTAAGCCACCTGCATCTGGCAGCCTTTGTGATAAATCAGCTTTGTGCCCTGGGTTGTAAACTTGGGAATTGCCATTTTCTTCTCCACAGTGTGCTCACTGCTATTCCCAGCTCTGCCCTATGTGCGCACTAGGACATGTATGTCCTGCTCTCCTCTGGTCCCTTCTTGTGCTCTATGGGTCTGTATAATAGTGTTCAGTTCTTTCTGAGCTGCAGCTGCAGGGCTAGAGGTGGGAGCAGGTAGTATTGATGGAAATAGATTGTTTTCTCAGAGGTGCACTTTCTTAATTGTTCCTAGAGGAGCAGGTGCTCACATAGGCCTCAAGGGAAAGATAGGGAAAGGGGTGTGGTGTACCTGGGTTGCCTGACACATGGATCACATGAGTGGGGTTACTATAGGCAGGTCGGGTTCTATCAGCTGAGCAGTCCATCTAGCAGACAGCCCCAGGGTCTTAAGTGTACTCTATTAAATGGACTGAGATGTGTGAATTCTTTTGTGGGAAGTGGGTCTATGAACGAAAAGGCTCCTATCAGTATTCCATGGATCTCTTACTTTGTGGAATAATGACCTGATTGTGTCAAGGAAAGTCAAGTCTCCCTTACAGCAGCTAGAATGAACTTTGTTGCTTTGAGTTGTATATACAGGTCCACCTCTACCCAAAGAAAGAGGGAGTTGAGTGGAAGAGGCATTTTTGTGGGCCATGGCGTAGACTGGGGCCTTTCCAGGACAACTCTCTGTCCTGCCTTGTTTTTGATGAGCAATGTAATTACAAAGGAAATGTAATCCATTAAATTGTGCGTTCTGCGTTTGTTCCACACAGACTGCAAAAGTTGCCAGGTGCAAAGTGGCTGACCTCATAGCCTCTCTCCTATCATTATTCTTTCCCCTTTTCATTCTAACCTAAACACTCACCTTACTTTCCCACGTACCAGCAGGGGGAGCTGCATCCTAGGCTAGCTGGGAAGGGCTGGCTCTGGGCCACTTTCCCCTTGAACTGGGGCCACCACCTTCAGCGGGGTGAATGGGGTGAATAGATGTATTCTTGGGACTCCATTAGCATTCTTGGTCGCCACTGACTTTTCACTTTAATTGCCAGCCAAGCTTCAGATTTGCCTTTCCTCTGGATTTTTTTGTGTCTCCTGTGTTTTCTAGATCATGCCTCCTAAGATTTTGCAGCCTTCTTTTGTAAAAATCCTAGTGATCAAAAGACAATACCAGAGACTGACTCAGACATGATGTTAAACAACTTGGTTTATCTTTGGGAACTTTT